GGTTAACTGACCAACAGGTAACAGGGTCAAATGCCCACACGGTAAGGGTCATAACTGACCACACGGGGAAACCCGGGGTCAAAACGACCAACAGGGTAACAGGGCATAACTGCCCACACGGGAAAAACACGGGTCAAAATGTAAACAAAAGGTAACCCGGGGGTATAACTGACCAACAGGTAACGGGTCAAAACTGCCAAAAGGGTCCGGGTCCAAAATGACCCCCAAGGTAACACGGGTCTAACTGACCAACAGGTAACACGGTCAAACTGACCAACAGGAACAGGGGTCTAATGAACCCACCAGGTACAGGGGTCATATGACCCCGGTAACGGGGGTCAATAAGGGATCAAAAGTAACAGGGGTCAAAACACCACACAGGTAAACGGGGGCTAAGACCAACAGGTACAGGGTCAAAACCACACAGGTAACACGGGTTTTCCCCTGGGTCTTGCCGCACGAAAACAGGTCCAAAAAGCCCCACACAGGTAACACGGGTCTAACTGATCCACACAGGTAACAGGGTCATAATGACCACACGGGTAAAGGGTCATAACATCCACACAGGTAACACGGTCAAAATGACACACAGGTGACACGGGTCTAAGTGTCCACACAGGTAACACGGGTAAAAACTGACCACACAGGTAACAGGGCTAACTACCACACAGGTAACAGGGTCATAATGACCCACACAGGTGCAGGGGTAAACTGACCCACACAGGTGACACGGGTCTAAGTGATCCAAACAGGAAAGGGTAAAACTGATCCACACAGTTAACAGGGGGGGGTCCCTAAACTGATCCACAGGTGACAGGGTCATAAACCCACACAGGTAACAGGGTATAAGAACCCCACAGGTAAAGGGGTCAAAACTATCCACACAGGAAACACGGGTCATAATACCCACAGAAAACGGGCATAACCCCCACAAGGTAACACGGGTATAACTGATCCACACAGGTGACACGGGTCATAATGATCACACAGGAACAGGGCATAATGACCCCCACACAGGTGACACGGGTCAAAGTACCCCCCCCACAGGTAAAAGGGGTAAAAAACTGACCCACACAGGTAACAGGGTATAATGCCCACACAGGTAAAGGGTCATAATGACCCACACAGGTAACAGGGTCATAACTGAACCAAAAGGGTAACAGGGGGTAAAAACTGAACACACAGGTAACAGGGTCATAATGAACCACCGGGAACACGGGTCATAAGTGATCCACACAGGTAACACGGGTCATAACTGAACCACACAGGTGACACGGGTCATAACTGACCCACACAGGTGACACGGGTCATAACTGACCCACACAGGTGACACGGGTCATAACTGACCTACACAGGTGGCACGGGTCATAACTGATCTACACAGGTGACACGGGTCATAAGTGATCCACACAGGTGACACGGGTCATAACTGACCTACACAGGTGGCACGGGTCATAACTGATCTACACAGGTGACACGGGTCATAAGTGATCCACACAGGTGACACGGGTCATAACTGATCTACACAGGTGACACAGGTCATAACTGACCCACACAGGTGACACGGGTCATAACTGACCTACACAGGTGGCACGGGTCATAACTGACCTACACATGTGGCACGGGTCATAACTGATCCACACAGGTGACACGGGTCATAAGTGATCCACACAGGTGACACGGGTCATAAGTGATCCACACAGGTAACACGGGTTATAACTGAACCACACAGGTGACACGAGTCATAACTGATCCACACAGGTGACACGGGTCATAAGTGATCCACACAGGTGACACGGGTCATAACTGATCCACACAGGTGACACGGGTCATAAGTGATCCACACAGGTGACACGGGTCATAACTGATCCACACAGGTGACACGGGTCGTAACTGATCCACACAGGTAACACGGGTCATAACTGAACCACACAGGTGACACGGGTCATAACTGATCCACACAGGTGACACGGGTCATAACTGAACCACACAGGTGACACGGGTCATAACTGATCCACACAGGTGACACGGGTCATAAGTGATCCACACAGGTAACACGGGTCATAACTGATCCACACAGGTGACACGGGTCATAACTGATCCACACAGGTGACACGGGTCATAAGTGATCCACACAGGTGACACGGGTCATAACTGATCCACACAGGTGACACGGGTCATAAGTGATCCACACGTCATGCGAGTCTTAACTGATGATGGGAGCAGTAGATCAGTAAGAGCACTTTTAAGAGCACAACTTACCTGGCTGTCACTGATAGTCAGTGTGAAGTGGTAGACCACTTGGCGCTACTGCTATTGTGTACCTGTTGACATCATGTACATCTTGACTCAACCATACGCTAACTCCTGACATGTATAGTGTGTGGTGGGGGTGAATATCCCACTAGGATGTGTATCACTGTGTTTCGATCACACAGTGGAGGAAAAGTGTACTTCCCAGTGGTAGTGGTAGTAGTGGGTACCTTCTCAGTGGCAGTGCTACCTGTGCAGTGTAAGTTAATACTGCACTGACTACTGCACCACAATGCATAGTTTTTGTCTAGTGTGTTGCAGTTTTTATCTGGTATGTTGTAGTTTTTGTCTGTCTGGTGTGTTGCAGCTTTTGTCTAGTGTGTTGCAGTTTTTGTCTAGTTTGTTGCACTTTTTGTCTAGTTTGTTGTAGGTTTTGTTTGGTATGTTGCAGTTTTTGTCTAGTGTGTTGCAGTTTTTGTCTAGTGTGTTGCAGTTTTTGTCTAGTTTGTTGCACTTTTTGTCTAGTTTGTTGTAGGTTTTTGTTTGGTGTGTTGCAGTTTTTGTCTGGTGTTGCAGTTTTTGTCTAGTTTGTTGCACTTTTTGTCTGTTTGTTGTAGGTTTTGTTTGGTGTGTTGCAGTTTTGTCTAGTTTGTTGCACTTTTTGTCTAGTTTGTTGTAGGTTTTGTTTGGTGTGTTGCAGTTTTTGTCTAGTTTGTTGCACTTTTGTCTAGTTTGTTGTAGGTTTTGTTTGGTGTGTTGCAGTTTTTGTCTAGTTTGTTGCAGTTTTTGTCTAGTTTGTTGTAGGTTTTGTTTGGTGTGTTGCAGTTTTTGTCTAGTTTGTTGCACTTTTTGTCTAGTTTGTTGTAGGTTTTGTTTGGTGTGTTGCAGTTTTTGTCTGGTGTGTTGCAGCTTTTGTCTAGTTTGTTGCAGTTTTTGTCTAGTTGATTGCAGTTTTTGTCTGGTGTGTTGCAGTTTTTGTCTAGTTTGTTGCAGTTTTTGTCTAGTTCGTTGCAATTTTTGTCTAGTTTGTTGCAGTTTTTGTCTAGTTTGTTGCAGTTTTTATCTGGTTGTTTGCAATTTTTGTCTGGTGTTTTTCAGTTTTTTGTCTAGTGTGTTGCAGTTTTTGTCTAGTGTGTTGCAGCTTTTGTCTAGTGTGTTGCAGTTTTTGTCTAGTGAGTTGCAGTTTTTGTCTAAGTGTGTTGCAGTTTTTGTCTAGTTGGTTGCAGTTTTTGTCTAGTGTGTTGCAGTTTTTGTCTGCGTGCTGTTGCAGTTTTTGTCTTAGTTTGTTGCAGTTTTTGTCTAGTGTGTTGCAGTTTTTGTCTAGTGTGTTGCAGTTTTTGTCTAGTTGGTTGCAGTTTTGTCTAGTGTGTTGCAGTTTTTGTCTAGTTGGTTGCAGTTTTTGTCTAGTGTGTTGCAGTTTTTGTCTGGTGTGTTGCAGTTTTTGTCTAGTTTGTTGCAGTTTTTGTCTAGTTGGTTGCAGTTTTTGTCTAGTGTGTTGCAGTTTTTGTCTAGTTTGTTGCAGTTTTTGTCTAGTTGGTTGCAGTTTTTGTCTAGTTGTTGCAGTTTTTGTCTAGTTGGTTGCAGTTTTTGTCTAGTTGGTTGCAGTTTTTGTCTAGTGTGTTGCGTTTTTGTCTAGTTGGTTGCAGTTTTTGTCTAGTGTGTTGCAGTTTTTGTCTAGTTGGTTGCAGTTTTTTGTCTAGTTTGTTGCAGTTTTTGTCTAGTGTGTTGCAGTTTTTGTCTAGTGTGTTGCAGTTTTTGTCTAGTGTGTTGCAGTTTTTGTCTAGTGTGTTGCAGTTTTTGTCTAGTGTGTTGCAGTTTTTGTCTGGTGTGTTGCAGTTTTTTGTCTAGTTTGTTGCAGTTTTTGTCTAGTTTGTTGCAGTTTTTTGTATATTGGTTGCAGTTTTTGTCTAGTTGTGTTGCAGTTTTTTTGTCTAGTTTGTTGCAGTTTTTGTCTAGTTTGTTGCAGTTTTTGTCTAGTTTGTTGCAGTTTTTGTCTAGTTGGTTGCAGTTTTTGTCTAGTTGGTTGCAGTTTTTGTCTAGTGTGTTGCAGTTTTTGTCTAGTTGGTTGCAGTTTTTGTCTAGTTTGTTGCAGTTTTTGTCTAGTTGGTTGCAGTTTTTGTCTGGTTTGTTGCACTTTTTGTCTGGTTTGTTGCACTTTTTGTCTAGTTTGTTGCACTTTTTATGTAGTTGCAGTTTTTGTCTAGTTTGTTGCAGGTTTTGTTTGGTGTGTTGCAGTTTTTATCTAGTGTTGCAGTTGTCTAATGTTGCAGTTTTTGTCTAGTTGTTGCTGTTTTTGTCTGGTGTGTTGCAGTTTTTATCTAGTTGCAGTTTTGTCTAGTTGCAGTTTTTGTCTGTGTTGCAGTTTTTATCAAGTTTGTTGCAGTTTTTATCTAGTTTGTTGCCATATTTGTCTAATTTATTAGTTTTTATCTAGTGTGTTGTAGTTTTATCTATTTTTTGCCATTTTTGTTTAGTTTATGGCAGTTTTTATCTAGTTTGTTGTATTTTTTATCTAGTGCTTTGCAGTTTTTATCTAGCGTGTTGCAGTTTTAATCTAGTGTGTCTTTGTCTAGTGTACATTGTGAGGTGAGTTATTGTAGTTAAGTATCACACTATTTAATTGTCTATTAATGCCAACCTCAGGTTTCCTAATTACCCTTCTCTCTCTCCGTCCCCATATCTCGAGTGTGAGTGGTTATGTCAGGCTCTTACACCTAACTCACCCCTTCCTCTCTGGCTGACCACAGGAGGGGCGAGGATGAAGGAGAAGAGCAAGAACGCTGCAAGAAGCAGACGGGAGAAAGAGAACGCAGAGTTCCTGGAGCTGGCCAAGCTGCTGCCTCTGCCGGCTGCTATCACCTCACAACTTGATAAAGCTTCAATCATCCGGCTCACAACCAGCTACCTCAAGATGAGGCACGTGTTTCCTGACGGTGAGTCTTCCTCTATGTTATTTTAAACCCTGGGCCTGGCTTCCAAGCCACATTACTTTGGTGAGTGATTTGGGCTTTCTAATTAAATAGTTGCATACATCAGCACTGTGCTGCTACCCTATTTAATGTGATAGTTTCACAGGATGGTGTTTCACTGTCGTATTCCATCACATAGGATGGTGTTTCACTGTCATATTCCATCACACAGGATGGTGTTTCACTGTCATATTCCATCACACAGGATGGTGTTTCACTGTCATATTCCATCACACAGGATGGTGTTTCACTGTCGTATTCCATCACATAGGATGGTGTTTCACTGTCATATTCCATCACACAGGATGGTGTTTCACTGTCGTATTCCATCACACAGGATGGTGTTTCACTGTCATATTCCATCACACAGGATGGTGTTTCACTGTCGTATTCCATCACATAGGATGGTGTTTCACTGTCATATTCCATCACAGGATGGGTTCACTGTCATATTCCATCACACAGGATGGTGTTTCACTGTCATATTCCATCACACAGGTGGTGTTTCACTGTCATATCATCACACAGGATGGTGTTTCACTGTCATATTCCATCACACAGGATGGTGTTTCACTGTCATATTCCATCACACAGGATGGTGTTTCACTGTCATATTCCATCACACAGGATGGTGTTTCACTGTCGTATTCCATCACATAGGATGGTGTTTCACTGTCATATCGTCCAGTATTCCATTAAAGGTTCATCAGCTACGACAAAGGGTTTCCTTCCAGCACAGCTGCAGTGACTATCACTTGACAACTACCATCTATTACCATGGTATATCCCATACACAGGAGAAATTCAATGTAACTTGGCAATCCCTGTAATTCAGGTGCTTGAGTGAGTTGCACGACCGGTGGAGGTTCTCTGTTCTCCAGCTCTGCAACTGCTACTGCCTCAGCTCACATACTGAGTGTCCGTGGTTCGATCCCTGGTACGGGTGGAAACATTGGGTGTGTTTCCTTAAGATACCTGTTGTCCTTCTTTACCTATAAGTAAGTAGGTATCTGGGTGTTAGTCGACTGGTGTGGGTCGCATCCTGAGACAAAATTGACCTAATCTGCCTGAAATGCTCTGCATAACAAGGGACTTTATAGTAGTGTCATTGATGTCAGCTAGACCTGTATACCTTGTACTTGTAGAAATAAAGATTATTATTATTATTATTATTATTATTATTTATTATTATTATTATTATTATTATTATTATTATTACTATACTGTAGTTTGCAGACCACTAGTAACATTGTGTCATCAGTCACTTGGCACCTGTAATATGTCTGGCAACGAGGTGGCCGAGAAATTAACAGCGTTCAGATGTGAACGTTCATGACTGGTGGTTCTAGGATGCGGTGAACCCGGTCATGAAGAATAATGAGAATAACAGGAAACATGTGACGGAGAAGGAGGGGAGGCGGGGGGGGGGGGCGTAGCTAATGCTGTACGACACGCTCTCGCACCTTGCTGCCATAACTTCCTGCGCCCGCCAGTGGGGTCGCTTCCTACATTGTACTAGCCAAGTTGTGTTGGAGGTTGAGGCACAGTTCTTGGTCCCCCGTCTTCACTGGTCGCTACTAGGTCCACTGTCTCCTTGCTCCAAGAGCCTTATCGTACCTCTCGTTAAAGCTTTGTATGTATGTTGCGTCTATTTCACTTTCCAGATTGTTCTACTGACAACTGTAAGGCTGAATAAATACTTCCTAACATACCTATGACTCATCTGAGTTTTCAACTTCCAGTTGAAAACATCGTTAATATATCACTCTAGCCCTTCCATCCTCGTGTGTGTGTGTGTGTGTGTGTGTGTGTGTGTGTGTGTGTGGTGTGTGTGTATGTGTGTTTGTGGTGTGTGTGTGTGTGTGGTGTGGTGTTGTGTGTGTTTGTGTTGTGTGTGGTTTGGGGTGTGTGTGTGTGTGTGTGTGTGTGTGTGTGTGTGTGTGTGTGTGTGTATGTGTATGTGTGTGTGTGTGTGTGTGTGTGTGTGTGTGTGTGTGTGTGTGTGTATGTGTGTGTGGTGTGTGTGTGTGTGTGTGTGTGTGTGTGTGTTGTGTGTGTGTGTGTGTGTGTGTGTATGTGTATGTGTGTGTGTGTTGTGTGTGTGTGTGTGTGTGTGTGTGTGTTGTGTGTGTGTGTGTGTGTGTATGTGTGTGCGTGTGTGTGTGTGCAGGTGAGAGTAGAAATGCATATTGTGTTATTGTGTTAGTTAGTTAGGAAGGTGGTGGTCACAGGTGGTGTTAAAACAGCGAGGATAATGCCTTAACAATGGTACAGTTTATTGTTCCACCACCACCCACACTTTTTTCCCTCTACTGTACTTGTGTTTTCTTACTCTCATTCTACTTTTTATTTTATTGTTTGTTATAGTTCTTTATTTTGTGTTTTGTTTTGTTAAAGGTGTTTTATTGATTGTATTATAGGTATTTTGTATGTATTATAGGTGTTATATTATTTGTATTTTAGTTTTATTTGTATTAGTTGTTTTATTTGCATTAGTTTTATTGTTTGTAGTATAGTTTTATTCTTTGTATTAGTTTTGTTTGTAGTATATTTGTTATATTGTTTGTATTTTAGTTATATTGTTTGTAGCATAGTGACCGAGTGGTGTAGAGCGTCACTTGAGAACCTAGCCAGTGCTCCTGTAGTGGGATCGAATCCTGCACACACATTCCTCTCTCTCCACACACACACACACACACACACACACACACACACACACACACACACACACACACACACACACACACACACACACACATACACACACACACACACATACACACACACACACACATACACACACACACACACATACACACACACACACACACACACACACACACACACACACACACACACACACACACAACACACACACATACACACACACACACACACACACACACACACACACACACACACACACCACCCACACACACACACACACACACACACACACATTTTATATAATATATATATATATATATTAACACATCGGCAGTCTCCCACCAAGGCAGGGTGACCCGAAAAAGAAAAACTTTCATCATTTACTCCATCACTGTCTTGCCAGAAGGGTGCTTTACACTACAGCTATAAAACTGCAACATTAACACCCCTCCTTCAGAGTGCAGACACTGTACCTCCCATCTCCAGGACTCAAGTCTGGCCTGCCGGTTTCCTTGAATCTCTTCATAAATGTTACTTTGCTCACACTCCAACAGCACGTTAAGTATTAAAAACCGTTTGTCTCCATTCACTTCTATCAAATACGCTCACGCATGCTTGCTGGAAGTCCAAGCCCCTCGCACACAAAACCTCCTTTACCCCCTCCCTCAAAAATTTCCTTGGCCGACCCCTACCCCCCTTCCCTCCACTACAGATTTATACACTCTCGAAGTCATACTGTTTCGTTCCATTCTCTCTACATGTTCGAACCACCTCAGCAACCCCTCCTCAGCCCTCTGGATAATAGTTTTGGTAATCCCGCACCTCCTCCTATTTTCCAAACAACGAATTCTCTGCGTTATATTCACACCACACATTGCCCTCAGACTTGACATCTCCACTGCCTCCAGCCTTCTCCTTGTTGCAACATTCACCACCCATGCTTCACACCCATATAGGAGTGTTGGTATAACTATACTCTCATACATTCCCCTCTTTGCTTTCACAAAGTTCTTTGTTTCCACAGACTCCTCGGTGCACCACTCACCCTTTTCCCCTCATCAATTCTATGATTCACCTCGTCCTTCATAGACCCATCTGCTGACACGTCCACTCCCAAATGTCTGAATACATTCACCTCCTCCATACTCTCTCCCTCCAATCTGATACCTAATCTTTTTGTTATCCTCATAACCTTACTCTTTCCTGTATTCAGTTTTAATTTTCTTCTTTTACATACCCTACCAAATTCATCCACCAACCTCTGCAACTTCTCTTCAGAATCACCCAAAAGCACAGTGTCATCAGCAGAGAGCAACTGTGACAACTTCCACTTCGTGTTAGATTCTTTATCTTTTAACCCCATAGCTTCTCTTACAACCCCATATATATACTGAACAACCACGGTGACATCACACATCCTTGTCTAAGGCCTACTTTTACTGGGAAATAATCTCCCTCTCTCTTACATACTCTAACCTGAGCCTCACTATCCTCGTAAAACTCTTCATTGCTTTCAGTAACCTAACTCCTATTCCATACACCTGCATCATCTGCCACATTGCCCCCCCTATCCACCCTGTCATATGCCTCTTCCAAATCCGTAAATGCCACAAAAACCTCTTTAGCCTTATCTAAATACTGTTCACCTGTATGTTTCACTGTAAACACCTGGTCCACACACCCCCTACTTTTCCTAAAGCCTCCTTGTTCATCTGCTATCCTACTCTCCGTCTTACTCTTAATTCTTTTAACAATGGCTACTATACACTTTATCAGGTATACTCAACAGACTTATTCCCCTAGAATTTTTGTACTCTCTTTTGTCCCCTGTACCTTTATACAAAGGAACTATGCATGCTCTCTGCCAATTCCTAGGTACCTTACCCTCTTCCATACATTTATTAAATAAAAACACTGCCACTCCAAAACTATATCCACCTGCTTTTAACATTTCTATCTTTATCCCATCAATCCCAGCTGCCTTACCCCCTTTCATTCTACCCACAGCCTCACGAACTTCCCCCCACACTCACAACTGGCTCTTCCTCTCTCCTACAAGATGTTATTTCTCCTTGCCGTATACACGAAATCACAGCTTCCCTATCTTCATCAACATTTAACAATTTCTCAAAATATTCCCTCCATCTTCCCAATACCTCTAACTCTCCATTTAATAACTCTTCCTCTCCTAGGCTTTCTCAACTTATTAATCTCATTCCAAAACTTTTTCTTATTTTCAACAAAATTTCTTGATAACATCTCATCCACTCATTTGCTCTCTTTTTATGTTGCTTCAC